AATCCAGTGTTTCCCAGAAAGAAATTTCTTCATACACAAAATGGAACGAAGACTTTGGATCATGCTCATAATTTGTTTCAATCAGATTGTCTGGAGAACTTTGGTTCAGCTCCATTTTTGGTGATTGTGTTTCTGGGTTCGAACTCCTAGCAGTTGTTCATTAAAATTGTATCCTTAAAATAATGAAATCTTTAACATTACACGAAATGCTGCAGTAACAAATATGCGTTCAACAGAAGAGTTCATTCAGTAACAGGTAAGACCATCTTGTCTCATACAATTTTTAATTCTGCTGGCATGATACAACGGCAGGCCGGAAAAATGAATTCAACAAAAGCAACAGTCAGTGTGTAAGAGACTGGCGCAGACATTACAATTACATCAGGCATCAACAAACAGAAGAACCATAACATCAAATGTTAAACAACTTAAAACAATATAACTAGTTTACAATTATAAAAAGTGCTGCATACTGATACAACAGAAAAACAATGTTCGTCCTGGGAAGGGCTTTGATCGAGTAAAAGCCCCGCTGGTTACAGATCAGTATTTCTGAGAATCACGCTGCGCGCAGAGTATCTGTTTCGACAGGGATCGCTGAGTCATAGACAGTGTCGTTATCGCGAATTTCAGACTGAAGTTGACAACGCAACTCAAGAGTTCCTGCACCACAGTCGCAAAAAAATCTATTATCAGGACAGAGTTTAAACAGTGATATTAAAAACCGTTTATAAGCAACTTTCATGATTACAAATTACTGAAACAAAACAACTGCAACAGCTGAAAACTTTTGAATCTACTGTACTGTTTAAACCTCTTAGAGACCAAAAGCGGCAACTCTATCAGTAACAAATTGCTGAGAGGAGTTGACATCCATAAGAGATACTTCACAGAATGTCAATGAAAATTTAAATCATCCACCCGAAACTGAAACTGATATATTCTCTCATGATGATAAAGAGGCAGTACCTTAATGAAAACAGTACTACCAGTCTATTAACTTTTAACGAGCCTATTATACTTTTTAAGGATCCAAATTAGTAGTCGAATGACATAGCAAAATATGTGAATACTTTTCCAATTATGGAAATGCGTTTACGAATCTGTGTACACAAATACAATTAATTTGTATGTAGCAGTTTCCAACGATACGCTTAGTTAGCAACGTGGATACGCAGTCATATAAACTGCGTTAACGTAAGAATCTGCTCATCAGTTGTACTGGCCTACAATAAAATATATAGTGAATTACTTTAAGATAAAGACGTGCTTAAGCAGATGCACTTGTTGCAGTGTGCTTTTATGAGACCACCCGAAATGGGGTTGCAAGCTACAAATTAGATATACATATCGCTTATAAGACAATAAAATGAACAATACCTGTCATGCCGAACAAACTCCACCTCATGGCCGCTGTGACACATCCTAATGCAGTTTACGCAGATAGCGTTGCGATTGGTTGTGTTGCAGGTGATACACCTAAAGAACCACACATACAGTGATAACATAGATGAGGAACGAATTATTTACCGATAAAAGTCATGCATGGGGAAACTGGAACAACTGGAGATTTTGTACAAACACTGACCCTTAGCTACTGTTTTCTCGACTGCATTTATGTTGTCGAAAACTTTGTTGTCCTTCAGCATCGGCCTCACGTTCGTCGCCAAACACAGCCCTCCAAACTTGTTGTTGAAAATCAGATTACCTTCAAGAGTAGCTGTTGCGCCGTTGGTAATTTCAATGCCAGCGGCTCTGCCATCGAATACTCTGTTGCGGCGTAGGGTCGGATTACTCTCCGTCGAGATGAGAATGCCAGCTTGAGCATTGCGAAAAATTTCGTTGTCCTCCAGGAGTCCTAAACGAAATTGTGGCCATTTTGTGACTAGAGAAGGCATGCAAGATATTTTGGATCATATGCCACGTGCCATTTTAGGTTGATATTCATCCTTAGCGACTCATCCTTAGTTTGGCTGTGCACTGAATAATTAGTCGATGGCACAAACAACGAAGAGAAGACGAAAAATCATTTAAATTATAGAAGACCTTTTGAACCTCAA